AGTATGTCTATACTATTTTCTATCTGTTTATAGTTCTCTGGTGAATTAGGATTAAGTTCCTAAAATCCACCTTACAGTTCACTAATTCTCACTTAAGCTAGGTCTAGAACTGCTCATCTAATTCATGAGCTCATATCTACAACTATATTTCACCTTAAAGTTTCCTTTTTAATCTTTTTTCCCAATCTGCCCGGTCACTTTATGCTACTTTGTTCTTTTCTCGTGTTTTTTTTTTTATTTATGCTTTTAATATGTCACACACTTCTCTTATAGTCTCTACCTGATTCCTCAATTTTATGGCTTCTATAGATCTACTCCTGATGTACGTTGTGTCTGATGAGCCTCACTGAGGGTGACCTGCTTCCACATGGGCTTTGTATTTTTGGATGGTGAGGTGACCTCACACAGGGCATTGTCTGCATCTCCTGGGTGGCTGTGTTGAATCTATTTTACCCCAAAGAGATTTTACTATTGATCTGCCAGAGTTACATCCAGCCAGACACTCATTTTTACATTAATCCTACCTCCGCTTACAATTCTGCATTTGTCAAACTTTGTTTCACTCTTAGAAAAATGACCAAAGATGCCAAATAACCTCTAAAGAACAGCATAGTCTGGCTGCTACATACTTCCTGAGCCTCGTCTCCCACCCTTCCCACCACTCATTCCGCTCCAGCCATACCGGTTTCTGTCCATCCCTGGAATGGACCAAACAGTCTCCCATCACAAGGCCTTTGTACATGCTCTTTATTCTACTGAGGGAATTGGGTTTCCTCCCCTCTTATTTTGGCTCACTTCTACTCACCTAATATCTCAGTTGATAATCACTCCCTTAAGAAAGACTTCCCTGGTCCCCCAACTGTCCTGACCAAAGAACAAAGAAAACCTATCATAGGTTCTGAGAGCATCAGACGCCTCTCTTTTATGGGACTAATCATGATTTACACATGTGCATGTATTTACTAGTGAAATCATTTGGTAAATAACTGTCTTTCTCACTAGGCTGCAAGCCCCAAGAGATCAGAGACCATTCCTACTTTTGTTCACCATGGTATTGCCAATTCCCGGCACAGGGCCTAGCCTGTCATAGGCGCTTGTTAAAATTCTGCTGAATGAATGAGTAAATAAATGAATGAACAGGTCAATTTATAGAGGATCACTTTCCCTAGTAATCATCTCTCTCCTCTTAAGCACTGGTCTTTGTTTCTTGTACAATTGCTGGTGGAGATCCTGTGTTCAGTGTCTGTGCCGACACTGAAAATCTTTAAGAAGCATGAGAACACCATCCAGGGTGATGACTACCCATTCAAACTCCTCACACTTAGCCGAAGGATTGACTTTCTTATTTTACTAGTGATTCATAGTCCACCCAGCACAACGAGGCCGGCTTCCGGGTTTATTATTTTGCCATCTCAGCCCACTCTCATGAAGGTGATTCTCTTGTCCTATTTCAGTCACAGTAAGATTGTATAGAATTTTCAGAGGCATGAGTTTTGCAGCACTGAGCTTAGGCAATTCACAGACACATAAAGCCCTTCTCTACAATTTCTCTACACAAATTGTACAGTTTGGCTGGCTTCATCTTGACCACAGAGGCATAAGAACGTGTATCTGTTTGCCCTTTGGAGAGGAAATTCTTCTCTTTGCCACTTCCGTAACCTGAACCAGGTGCTTGTTTATTTCCCCCTGATTCTGCTAAGGTCTCATGGCCTAGATATCTTATCGCTATCCTCCAAAGATCACCTGCTAGATACATATTTGCCTAAGAAGGACTTAAGGCCCATGCCAGCTAAAGCACATATTTGTGTACATGCACTAATCACTGTGCATACATGACAAAGGCCTAAATCTCTGGGAAGTACTCAAATCATTGTCAACTCTCTCTGAATGACATATTAGAACCCATTTAATCCCTTCTGTAAGAGCAGAAGGAGCCCATAAAAAGAATCCAGCTTGTCCTCACAGTTCTCTGAGAGCACAATGAGTGACACATGTACATGTAATTGATTCTCTGGATCCCCGAACCGGCCCCCCTTTATTTCCCAGGACCCATGCTTTCCTTCCTATTGCTGTTTTCTTTAAGCTTCCCAATCCTTTCCCCCGCTTCTCTTGGTCGTTCCTCTCCCTGTCTGACAACAGGAAGTCATTTCTCTGCTGATGGTTAACATGGCACCGTCCTGACCTATTCTCTGGAGCCTCAGAGCTCGAGCAGTGCCACAGGGGCCAAATACCTCCTAGCCACACCACTCTTGGTGGATGCTGGCTCACCTTCAGCACAGACGGGATCGATCCCACCACTGCTCCTGTGCCAGCACCTCAAAGGCCCGGCCCCATCCCACGTCAGCTGTCACTGGGGTCACTGCGCGGTCCTCCTCAGCCCCCTGACTACATACACTTCACTGCCTCATCAAGGCCTTGTGGGCAACAGCAACATAGGCATGCCAAAAGAGGTGAGGTCCCATAGGCTGCCTGGGTGGTTTGGTCGCTGAGCGCCGATTTCTCGTCACTCAGGTCACGACCATGGCTCGTGGAGTTCAAGCCCTGGCAGTGCCAGGCTCTGAAGCGTTGACAGCTGGAGCCTGAGCCTGCTTCCAGATTCTGGGTCTCCTTCTCTCTCTCTCTCTCTCTGCCTCCCTCCTGCTCACGCTTGTCTCTCTTTGTCTCTTCAAAAATAAATAAATAAAAGATTAAAAATTAAAAAAAAAAAACAAAAAACAAAGAGAGTCCTGATCATCTCGACCACAGCTAACCCCTAATTCAAGGACAAATGCATGTATTAAAGACTCAAAAAAGGCAAGAGTGGGCCTGCCCAACTGCCTCCCTTCTGAAGATAAGGTCTCTTCACGCCCTGCACCTGTTCACCTGCCACGATCTTCCCGTCGCGACCTCACCTGCTCATTCCTCTGCCTGAAACCTTTTTCCTAAATAATAGCCACACGCCGCTCCTCCTCCCACCTTGTTCCAGCTCACAAGTCTTTCAGCCCACAGGTCACTTCCTCCGTGGGGCTCTCCTCACTCTGATGGCCAACACGCTGCCTGGGCCTCACCACCACCTGATTTGTGCCACATATACCTAACCTTCTCTCAGCCCTCTCTGCTGATCTACGATAGCAGCATTGAGCACTTTCAAATTGGAGGGAATTTCATGCGGGGTGGAGAGACATTGCGGCTTTTCTACTTGGCCATAAAGAGTACCGAACTTCAAGCAGCAGTGCTTCCTCCAAAAGCCCAGTGCTGGGCAGGTTTAGAATAAAATTGACAAAGTGTTTTATTTAGTCACTTAAGACATCTAAGTTAATCTCACATATATGTCCTCTTCTAGGAAAAAAACATCAAGCTCTGTGACAGTTTACTCCACTTTCTTTCCCCATCTCCACTGAAATTCAAATTTCCCTTCTATTGTCCTTGAAACATGTCCTCCATGTTTGAGAATATCAGTAAGAATTTGGTCAAGAGCCGGAGAGAGACAAAGAGTCTGACACCTGAAACACCTGTTGTGAAGAACGCCACAACAAATTCCGCTGGGCCAGTTTGCAATTTTACTTAGAAGAAAGAAGACTCCTCTCACAGTTCTGGAACTACTTCCTGATATTCATAGGAATACACACCCCTTTCATGGACATCCTGGGAGTTTGCCTCTTCTTCTCAGTCCCAGGTATTGCTACAATAAGGGCTGGGAGTGGGAGTGAAAAACAGAGCAGGGTTCTTGGGTGACAGGTAGTGCACCATGCAAGAATCCCTGAGACACACACACACAGGTAAAACTTGGGAGCGTTTTGTCAAAGACACTGGGCAAGAACCTATGACTATTTGAGAATCTACTAATATCTGGACCACATTTATGAGTTCATTTAATGTTACTTCTAGCAGCTTCTGTCAGAAAACACAATCAGTTACAGAAATTATGAATTGAAACTTATAGGCCAATTTGTTCTAGGTTATGTCACCCCGGGGAACTAGTAAAACGTTAGAATCCCAAACCCAGATCTGTCTGTCTACTGCTTAATAGAAATTTTCTGCTCCAGCATGCTGCCTCCTTGGGGCCAGATGCTGAACAATCACCTGCTGCAGGAGTGAAAGATGAGGATGTCAGCGGCCTCTCAGGGGGCACACACGAAGGTCACCATGTTCCGGGTTTGAGATGACGCTGTTATCCACTTTGGGTTGATCTGCAAACATTTGTCCTCAGTAATTTACAATTTAAAACATTATTTTGTCAGGAATGTGCAAGCTGCGCAGCCACTGGAAAGTCTGGAGGTTCCTCAAAAACTGGGGTATACAACTACCATACTTCCACCCAGGCACTTACTAGACATTTATCCAAGGATGCAGGTGTTGTTTTTGAAGGGACATAAACCCCATGTTTATGCAGGCAGCACTTATCAACAATAATAGCCAAAGAAAGAGCCTATGCCCAAATGTCCATCATGGGTGAATGGATAAAGCATGGGTATATATACATGGAGTATTATTATTTAAATCAGAAAGAATGAAATCTGCCATTTGCAACTTCTACATGGATGGAAATGAGGGCATTATGCCAAGGAAATAGTCAGAGAAAGACAAAATCATACACGACTTCACCATAAGGAGGCCTTTAAGAGACAAAACAGATGAACATAAGGAAGGGAAAAATAAGGAAAACAGGAGGGGGGACAAAGAGAAGAATTCATAAAGGAGAAATAAAACTGAGGGCATTTAGGAGGCTTGGGGGGGGATGGGCTAAAATGGATATGTTAGGGGGAAGGGAACAAGGAATGTACTCCTGAAATCATTGTTGCACTATATGCTAACTAATTTGGATATAAATTTAAAAAAATTAAAAATAAGTTAATAAAAAGAAAACAAAAAAACCACATTATTTTGTTAGCTTCTGAAAGATTTCAATAGGTAAGAGGGCTGAAGCAACACAGGACTTGGTCATTCTATCTCCATTCCATTTTCCAACTGTTCCAGAGTAAATTTTTGATTAAACCTGAAGTCCCCTTTTCTGTCCTCAGAAACCGTTATCAAGGGACCATTTATCTTCAGTGACACCATGTTCCGGAAGTACAAGGCTTCTGCAGGTGTGACTGCCATGCTAGAAACGAATGTGTCAGGGGAAGCTACTAAGTGCCATGAAACCTTCCTCCAGTTTCACGCTATTACCTTCCCACCCCAAAACTGGAAAGACCTTCTAAAGAGGTGAGGCCATGGGAGAGGAAGGACTGGTCAACAGAGCCCCTTGGACTCTCTTTGTGGGCAGACACCTAGCAGGCCTTGCTGTTGAGGCTCTGAATGAAGAAAATTACACCGCAGGCAAGCTATGCTGTTCTTCTTGTTCATTCATTCAGCGAATAATTATTAGTCACTTAATACATATTTATTAAAACAGCAATTACCCATTACTGCACTATCATGTGCTACCCATCTCTACCCTAAAGCCGCTCATATTTAGTGTGGACAGGCAAAGGGCAGGCAGTGAGGAAGAGCGGGCAATAAAAAATAAAGTATTAATTAACAAAGTATTAATTTATGGGAGACAAAGAATTGGAAACTCTCTGTTGACATAAGGTATGAAGTAGTGTCCTGGGATTTCATTTACCTCCAAACGTATAGGCAAAGGCGGGTATCAAACGATCTCTTAAGAGCTCAACGAAGAACTTAAGTCTTTACTGCCTTCTAAAAACAGTCAACTTCAGGGTGCCTGGGCAGCTCCATTGGTTAAGCGTCTGTCTCTTGGCCTCAGCTCAGATCATTATCTCACAGTTTGTGGGATTGAGCCCCTTGTGGAGCTCTGTGCTGACACCACTGAGCCTGCTTGGGAATCTGTCTCACTCTCCCTCTCTCTCTGCCCCTCCCCAGCTTGCTGGTGCTCTCTCTCTCTAAATAAATAAATAAATTTAAAATAAATAAATAAGTAAAAACAGAAATGCCAACTTAAATAATGTGTTTACAAACCCAACAAATTGTTAAGAAAGCAACAAGTTAAAAATCACAGACTGCTTAAAGACTAAAAGTTACTTTCACAGGGCATTGGACAATTTCCGTATTCCTGAGTTCTTACAAGGCCCTTATTAACAATAACATTTGCAAAGACTGTTTATGGTGCAAAAGAGTATCTGAGATTCTTTAGCTGCTCAGAAAGAAAAAGAAATTCTCAGTATTTCAGCAAAGAGGCAGTTTCTAGGATACATTTTAATTAGCTAGCTCCAAGTGAAATAAGTAAGCCTGAGGTCAGACCTTTAATGGAAAAAAAAAAAAAAAAA